AAATAAAATAACCTGCTTTCTGACGTAGTAGAGAAATGAAAGATCAAGTATGAATCAGAATTTAACAGTTGCAAATTACTGTAAACGTATTACATTTAGCGGTGTATTCTATTTAGCGATTTTGGCGGAAAGCAGAGTCCGCTAATTCAAGTACATCGCTAAATGTCTTGTATATTAACATACATAACTAGCACATTCAGACAGCGCTAAATCAAATCTACGCTAACTTGTTGAAAATTGAATTTCCGCCAAATATCGTACACGCTAAATGTAATACATTTACAGTAACCCCTTCACTTCCGTATCGGTCAATTTGACCGTGGGCGAAAACGCGACTTCGCGAAAATAAGATCTCCGTATAGATTATTTTATGATAGCATAAAGGTATATAAACATTATATCATCTTTTTGAAAATTTTCTCTACTTTTAAACTATCTAAAAAGTTTATGTATTACCGTCGGTATTGAGTAGATTTTGCGTTTTGAAGACAAACATGACTTTTTGAAAATCGCGTAATTTTCTAAAGCAATGCCGATTTTCCCGACGATTGGCAATTTTTTCCTGGTTAACTAAATAAAGAAATTATGATATCTTCTTAAAGCATATTTTCTCTGCTTTTAGAATGTGTAAAAATTATTGTTATTACTTTAAAATATTTTTTATACAAGAATTTTCTTGCATTTATGTGTTTTTTCTCGTTTTTATTCGTGATATTTAAACAAAGCTCAATGTTACGTGTATTTCTGTACCGAAATAGGGAAAACAAAATAAAGCTGTAAGCGTAGAGAAAAGAGTCTTTCCTTTCCAACAAGCCATTACATATCTTCTTACGCTCAGTAGTTGCTTAACTACGATAGTTTGAATGGATGGCTATTTATCAACACTCCCAAGTACACAAACAGCCTTGCCCCAGGAATTTTGCCCTGAACCACTGTGTCCTTTTTATTAACAACCCTGACAGCCAGGTATGCTATTTCTTTTAATTCAATATTTCAACCATGATGGTTTACTACTAGGTTGTTGATTTTTCAGTCCTGATACATTGACTTAACCAAATCATTTAACTACTTGAATCACATAATAAATACAATTTTAATTTTAAAAGGAAAATCATATCGATGTATTTATGTAGCATCCTTAATTTTATACACTGTATTTGTAAATTCACATAATTTGTTTCAAAATATTTAAATCTTTTTTACAGGATAGAAGCTGCGCGTGATCAGTTGTACTTGTCAGCAACTAATGTCTTGGACAAGTCAAAGAATTTTCTCCAGTCTTTCAGAGAAATGACAGTTGATGAAAGAATGGTGGCCACAAAGTAAAAGTGTTCTGGTCTTCAACATTTTGTGGAAGATTAAATCAGTTTGATATGGAATTCAGCTTGCAATATTTCTGGATATGTATATTCGTGAGAAAAAAAACCCATCAGATTTTCAACTTATTGACTTTTAAAACAGTAAACAGTAAATATTGCTATTGCCATCCATTATTGTGTTTTCCCCTCCAAGATGACAAGACAAATCTTTATTGTACCCCTTAAACTCTGTCAAAAGAAAAAAATCTTGTAATGAAATCAGCTAGTTTATTTTTTCTTGTTAGATGAAATCTATGAAAGAAAAGGTTCTTTTAATGGCATCAAGAAAATGTATTTGTTTTTTGTAAATAATAAAAAGATTGTGTAGTTTACTGCTATGTATTTTCAGACAGACTTTTTTGTATTTTTTTTAATTTTTTTATTTTTATTTTTTTTTTTTTGAGTGAAGAAAAAATTTAAAACCTGTATTAGCCACATCTTTCAGGAAATGTACAGAACCTGTGGGACTGTCACTTTAATTTGCTAGTAAATATGCATCATAAATTGGAACAAGGTTGTAGTTATGGAAAGTACTGTTGTTTTTTTTTTATTTACTTGATATTATGGTTATGATTTTTTATTTGAAATTAGAACACAAGAAACCATGCTTGCAAATTGTTCTTCAAATTTTTGACATTTTTTTAAAATTACATGCATTGTCAATTTATTATTGCCTTTAAAGACCAAGTCAAATGTTTCTGTTCATAGTGATGGCATATCATTTAACATGAAGATTATGTGCACATAATGTGATCTAGAACCTATATTGCAGATAAAGACTTGCAAACTTACTAGTAACAAATAAACACTTTGTATAAATGCTCTTTATTTCTGAGTGATGCAAGCTCTGATTCAAGTTCAGGTGGCGTAAACAATCTCGACAGCATAATAGGCTAAGTTATTAATTATTGAACGAATCTCTAATTTTGCAGATAACAACACTTAGTAAAGTAATGTTAAAATTTATTTTAATTTTTGTCTACTTGACAAATCGAAATTTTAGTACAACATGAATATTTTGACGTAAGCTTCAGATGTTTCATGATCCTGGGGCCAGACTCCTTTGCTTGCAAATTTTGTTGTTCACCATTTTTTACGTTAACTATTAGATGATTTATCCATAATGATGCAGCATTTCATAATTGTTATGTACTTGCAATTTTTAAAAAACAGAATTCTGTACTAATATGACCTTGACCCCCCTAAGAACAGAAGTGTCAAGGTCAAAACTTAATTCAATAATGTTCTTTACATTATTTTGGCCAATATCTTACTTACAATATCATGGAATGTACAAAAAAGTGTCAGGAAGGAGCAATAACAAACATACAATGTATACAGCCAAAAAATTGAAAACGTTGTTGCTTAGCAACCACTTAAAGTTCATTAAACAAATATTTGAACCAAAATGGTTATGGATCTTGCAGTTTTGATGCCTTCTTGAGAGTATATTGAAGAATTTTCTATTTCAGTATCCATTGTGTAAAATTTTAGCAAGAATATTGAAAAGTACTGAAAAAGTTGATGAAATCACAAAATAAATAGGCCTATTTTTCGCTTTTTTACGCGAGACGATTGCGTTATCTCGAAGTGAATTGAACCAAAATCCACGAAATACACTAAAATGAACCAGAAACCATATTTCGCTTGATTTAACATGATCAGTTAGCAATTTTCCGGAAAATGTTATCCTTTCGATTTTGACTATTATGCTCAGTTTGCTTATTTCCGGTAATTTTATTTTAGGTCGGGTACAGAATGCAAGTGTCGTGAACGGTGAACGAGTGACAGCTGGTGGTTTTTCAGAGATGGCAGATGATGTCGAGAGTAAAGTTCTTCGATACAAGTCCCGATTACAAAACAGCACAGATGAAGAGAAGGTAGGCCTGGAATTAACTGATGACCTGTTGGTTTCGTTTACTGTGCACTTTGACTTTTCTATAGCTTTACTTGGCTAGATCATGGGAGTCGGCGTATTTATCAATACAGTGAAAAGAATTAAAAAGCAATTAGAAAGCATAAATTCTACTAGTGAGCTGTAGCTATTAAAAGCTACATATGTAGAAATAGTATTTGGACTAGATCTGTCTGTAATGATAAGCTATATATTGTTGACTTCATTGGTTAGATCTCAGGCACTGGAAATTAGTGTAAGAATAATATGTTTTTTAAGGTGTGTCTGTTTGGGCAAGTGCAGTCCTATACACAGCTTACAGTTGTATCGTTGATCTGCCTTTTCAAACGTCAAACCGCTGAGAGACAGTCTAGCCTGTGACGTCACATGACGTTGAAATTTACGGAGACAGTCGAGTGGTTGAACAAGTCTACAGGTCTTGTGCAATATTGCAACTTTGTAGAGTACATGAAAATATTTTTTGTTTCATTTAATCTCTCTGCAAATAAAGAAAAGTATTAACATATTGAGGTAAAGAACAATCATTTTTGTTCTTTTGTATGTTTTGTAATAATTTCGCATGAAACCCTGGTAGCAAAGGAATTCTGGGAATGTTGCACAGGAGAATTTGCCTGACATATGTACAGAATTTCCTCTGTTCTTACACATCATTCTATTGAGCTTGTATGTAGATATAAAAGGAAGAGTTGGATACCCTTTGTTAGGTTAATTTATGTTAACTTTTAGGTATTTTTATAATGGCCTGAAATGAAAACTGTTCCTTGTTGTGCTCATACCTGACAATATCTTAATATGTACAGATAGACAATGGTATCTAAACACAAGCAAGACTATTGGAAATATCCAGTTGTCCAAGGTGTAAAGATATAAAAGTTGAGACTTTACATCCAAGATTTCACTGCATAGCAAAATAAGGACTACAGATATTTTTTTGCACTTCATAAACTGACTAATTAACTATATTCACTATGTCAGTATTTGGCAACTTTTTTATTCAAATTAATATTATAGTACTGGTGATAATTATTTGCATATTCTGATATTAGGTCAGGTCTAGTAAAGTTGAGTTCAGATCAAGAAAAATGTATAGTTTTTAAAAATGCACAAGTAATCAAGCCATACCAAAAAATGCTATTGAAAATCAAATGATTAGAAATGAAGGATTAATGGCTTCCTATTGACTGGGTCATGCTGAAGACATTCTTTGTGACTTATTTGTCAGATACCTTTATGACAATATTGTTCTACTTACAGTTACAAGAAACACTGTTTAAGATAGCAGACATTCCTATCACAGTGGATATCCTGCAGGTTTGTAGCACCAAACAATGTCTTTATTAAATGTACCGGTATATATTTTGAGATTTCATTCAAGGTTTTATATTACTTAACAATTTTATTTCTCTGAATTTGCTTTTAAATAGTACATGCATGTACCTATATTTGAATAAGGATTAAAATCTAAAATCTTCATTTTAAGATGCTGAAATGAAAACAAATTTCTTTTATCAATGTTGAACAGAAAACAAAAATTGGAAAAGTTGTTAATGGACTGAGAAAAAAAGGTGGGGACTTGGGGATTCTTGCTAAGGACATTGTGACAGAATGGAAGGCCATGGTGGCTCGTGTACAGTCCCAGGAAGAAGAGGAGGAAAAAAATGATCACACCGAAAAGTCTCACTCCAGTCCTGAGGTGGAAAATAATGGAGAAAGTCCAGAGCACAATCACATTGAGAGGGATGATAGCCCAATAAAGGAAGAGGTAAGATCACCTCAGGAGAAAAGTCGAAGCAAAGACATCAAAAAACACAGAACAGATAGACATTCATCCCATCAACCCTCCTCACACAGCAAGGCTAAAGAAGAAAAACACCAAGAGTCAGAAAACAGGTATAGTTCTAAAGATAGTCGACATTCATCAAACCGAGAAAAAGTCAGAAAGGAGGAAAAGAAGAACGAGGAAAATAGAAAAAGTTCATCATCTGGAGATGGCAAAAAGTCTTCTAGCAATGATCATAAACAATCTAAGAGTGAGAGGAGCTCAAAATCTCATACTGAACACTCTGATATAAAAAGTGACAAGAGTGTGGAAAATCACAAGAGTCATAGATCTCATTCCAAGACGAAAGAGAGTCAACCTAGTAGTAAAAAGGAAAGTCAACACTCCGTGACTAAGCACTCTGAGAGCAGCAGATCTAGTAAAGACAGTATTAAACACTCTGATCATAAACATTCTTCAAGCCATAAAAGTGAAAGTAGAAAGTCTGGGAGTAGGCATTCCAATAGTGAGTCTGGAGGTAAGGACAGGAGTCACAGCAGGCATTCACACAGTGGTCACTCAGAAAGTCATGCCAAGCATTCTAGTAGTAGTAGCTCAAAAACTAAAAACCACAATGACAAGAAATCTTCAGATAACTGTGATAAAGTTATAAGTAATACAAAACATTCCAGTAGTAAATCTAGTGATAGAGACTTTACAGACATCAAAAGGTCAAAGCATACCTTGTCTGAGAGTGAGAATTCAGAGGAAGAGGATAAGAATCAAAGTAAAGTGTTGGGTCATTGGGACGGGCTGAGCTCGGATGCGGAGATGGAGGAGGAACCAGGGGGGTTCTTTTTTAATGATGAATATGTGGACCATGAAGCCCTGCTGAATGAGGCCCTCAATAAATATCACATGGGGCCTCCCTCATTACCTCCTTCTAGCAGCTCAGACAAAAAGTCCCAGGAAAGATCCCAGGAAAGATCTGAAAGGGAAGTGGGAAAAGATCATCCAAAGAAAGAGAAGCATTTAGATTCAGATAAGAAGAAAAAGGATTCTGGTGATAAAGAGAGGAAGGAAAAGAATAAGAGAGATGATTCCCACTCATCACATAAATCAAAGTCAAACTCTAGCTCAAAATCTAGCAGTCACAAGCATGACAGGGAAAACAGAAAACGCAAACATGACCAGGATGGAAAACCAGAATCCAAAAAGTCCCGCTCCAATACGGAGAGTGCAGATGTTGCTTCTTTTGAGGAAAGCATCGCTATCCCTGTCAAAAAACCCAAAGCTGATCCAAATTATGAAAAACTTAAATCCAAATTTAAGATAAAAAAGAAAGGAGAAGTACCCAAAGAACCAAAACCCCAAAATGAGAAGTTAGTGTGTGATACATCAGAGACCGAGAGCAATAAAAAACTAAAGGTTCCTGTTCCAGGGTCAAAGGTCAGAACACGTTTTAAGATATACATATAATCTTTTATCAGCTTTCCAGGATAAAAATGCTGTATCAATCTTATTTTTCCATGCAATGCCAATAGTCTTAAATATTTATAAATAAAGACTTTTTATGGAACTATTTTAATATTTTAGCTGAAGCTTTCTGAAAGAGACCTTGCTGGCCTCGTCCGTAATAATGTTGCAGCCACTTACCGCAACTTTGAGGAGGTTCCCTCGGCAACTGCTCAGTTTGACGACTCTCTGATTGGACAGAAAAGTTACGCCAAGACCCAGGTGTACTCAGGAAAGAGGAGTAATGCTGTCCCTAAGGTTTACTCACTTCAGGAAATCTGCATTAATCTTCTCATGAACTACATTGACAGTAAGTGTTGTAAAATTTGTCAAGTTTGAAGAAACGGAGAGATTTCTGAGTTTATATACCTGTATTTGTACATTTTTAGCTCACCTGAGCTGAAGGCTCAAGTGAGCTTTTCTGATCACATTGTGTCCGTCATCCGTGTAGCTGTCTGTTTGTCCGCCTAGCTGTCCGTCCGTCCGTCCAGCTGTCTCTCCGTCCGTCCGTCTGTTAACTTTTCACATTTTGACTTGTTCTCAAGAACCGCTGGGCCAATTTTAACCAAACTTGGTAAATGCATCCTTAGGTAAAGGGAATTTTATATTGTAAAAATGAAGGGACAAGACCCCTCAAAAGGGGAGATAATCAAGAAAATAAAAAAATAGGGTGGGGTCATTAAAAAATCCTTTTCTCAAGAACGACTGGGCCAGAAAAGCTGAAACTTATGTGGAAGCATCCTGGGGTAGTGTAAATTTTAAATTGTTAAAATCATTACCCCCAGGGGTTGGGCGGGGCCACAAAAGAGAATCCAAGTTTTACATAGGAATATATAGAAACTGGGCCAGAAAAGCTGAAACTTATGTGAAAGCACCCTAGGGTAGTGTAGATTCTAAAATGTTAAAATCATGACCCCTGGGGGTTGGGTGGGGCCACAATAGAGAATCCAAGTTTTGCATAGAAATATATAGGAACAAACTTTAAAAACGTTCTTCTGAAGAACCACTCCACCAGTAAAGCTGAAACTTATGTGGAAGCATCCTCAGGTAGTGTAGATTCTAAATTGATAAAATCATGACCCCCGGGGGTTGGGTGGGGCCACAATAGAGAAACCAAATTTTACATAGAAATATGTAGGAACAAACTTTAAAAAATCTTCTTCTCAAAACCACTGGGTCATAAAAGCTGAAACTTATGCGGAAGCATTCTGAGGTAGTGAGGGAGACGAGGCCAGACTAGGTATTACAATGGGGAAAATGTATAAAGAACGGCATCACCAATGCTATTCAGGTGAGCGATGTGGCCCATGGGCCTCTTGTTTTTTTCAAAATGAAAGTTTTAGCAAGTTTATTGAATGGATGCAAGTAAAACTGTCACCTTGAACAAAAATATGTATTATGAAATCCACCATGTTTTCAGATTAAAGTAGAACATGTGGATTCACTTTAAGCATTTTGAAACTTATGGATTGCTGATTCATGAACTTACCGTATACATGTAAGCCGGATTTTTAGTGAGGTTTTAATTTTGGCATTGTTAGCGAAGGTGCCAAGGTCGCTAAATTGAATAACGCTAAAAATTAATTGCGCTTTATTTGTAACAGCTTCTTTAGTGAGCTTTATAAAATTGCTAAAATTACATATCGCTAAAAATAAAACACCAATTTTTAAGGACAAATCGCTTAATTTGCATCTCACTTAAATTTCCACTTAATAAGTTATACGGTAGTTGTGGGCTTACTCTTTGTATGTATGAATTCAGAATAAACCCTGAAGGGTTATTTTAGTCTGATTAATAAACAACATCACGTAAATATTTTTTTCCCCAGGTATTGAAGCTGTTGGAAGTTCTGTGCCATTCTACATACTTGAACCAGTGCTTAAAAAATGTACCCCAGCTCAGCTGTATAGGATAGAAGACTTCAACCCTGTGAGTAATTTAGTTCTGGTTACTATATACTGAAAAAAATTGCTTTATCTTCTTTCTTCTTTCTCTTGCCCATATTATCAGCATGTGAATTCAAAACAGGCAAATTCAAAAGTATACCTGTATTATTTTAAAAAATGCAACTGCAATTGGGTGAATTTAAGAAAGAGTGAAATAATTTACCAGTGTAATCAGGTGTAAGTATATAGTATAGAGTACTGTATAAAGTAATCTCTGAAATTCAAAGTAAAATTCTGGTAGAACTCGGCATTTAAATTATATTTATTTCTTCACCAGGACTATGAGTGTTCTTTGTCTTTTCAGCATTTCTTGGAGGAGAGTGATGACCTGTGGAAGCTACATTGTGAGCGAGAATTCCGAGATTCCAAGCCAGACGAGTTTGAGACATACCGGGAACTATACCTGGTACAGTAAAACCTGAAACAGTGTATAAAGTGATCAGTGATAACTATGACTTTAAAAGCTCATAGGGTCTGTCTGTTGCTCTTAATGGTTCTCGGTAGTGAGAGCATTTTTTATAGATGTCTTATTAATTATGAATGACAGAGTTGAGCAGGGGTACACACAAAAATTTTCAGTGCTTTTAGTCTGTTATCTACGAAAGACGAATAGGGCCACATAAAAAATATTTTTATCTCATAATTACGAGATCTTTTCTCGTAATTACGAGATAATTATCTCGTTATTACGAGAAAAGATCTCGTAATTACGAGAAAAGATCTCGTAATTACGAGTTAATTATCTCGTAATAACGAGAAAAGATCTCATTATTACGAGTTAATCATCTCGTTATTACGAGAAAAGATCTCGTAATAACGAGAAAAGATCTCGATATTACGAGTTAATTTTCTCGTTATAATGAGAAAAGATCTCGTAATTACGAGTTAATTATCTCGTTATAACGAGAAGAGATCTCGTAATTACGAGATGATTATAAATATATATTTATGCCATTATCTTGGAATTTTTTCTTTAATAAAAATGTGTGAAGAGGACAAAGTTAATTAACTCGTAATTACGAGATAATTAACTTGTAATATCGAGATCTTTTTTCGTAATTACGCGATAATTAACTCGTTATAACGAGATCTTTTCTCGTAATTACAAGATCTTTTCTCGTTATAACGAGATAATTAACTCGTAATTTCGAGATAATTAACTCGTAATAACGAGATCTTTTCTCGTAATAACGAGATCTTTTCTCGTAATAATGAGATCATTAACTCGTAATAACGAGATCTTTTCTCGTAATTACGAGATAATTAACTCGTAATAACGAGATCTTTTCTCGTAATTACGAGATCATTAACTCGTAATAACGAGATCTTTTCTCGTAATAACGAGATCATTAACTCGTAATAACGAGATCTTTTCTCGTAATTACGAGATAATTAACTCGTAATAACGAGATCTTTTCTCGTAAATACAAGATAAAAATATTTTTTTATGTGGCCCTATTCGTCTTTCGTAGTTATCAGAATTTTCAGATTATTATAAATGAGGGGTATGTCTATAATTGAATTTTTAAGTAACATCTCAATATTTCCCCATCTTTTCAGCTTAAAATTCCAGGGGTACAAGTCCTGATCCAAATAGAGTCAGTTAAACTGTAAAAAAATTGATAGGAGAAGGGTCTGGTGTGTTTAGTACAATGTATTGACCTATAAGTCAGCAGTTTCTTAAATATTTAGGGTTTTTTTTTTCAAATCATACAATGATCAAATTATTAAACTTGCCAGTAACCAGTGTCTTAATTTATTTGTATAGATTGTATGGTAGTCATTGATCTGAATTGAAAGTTAAATTTTTTGGAAATTTATTTTCAGAGGAAATTTGATGAAAAGGAGAGGAAGTTTAAGATGATTAAGGACAACATATCACAATCTATGGCTAAGGCAGCTCCAGGTAAATAGTATACATACTAGTATATATCTTGTGTTTATCAGGATTGTAACGGACAAGTTTCAATGCTATGGGTAAATTTTTTGTTGTTGTTGTTGAATTTCTTACATTAATTTTCATCAACAAAAGCCATAAATTCAAATGCAGAATTGCTGGAAGTATGAAATTGTGCTTACTTTTTCAGAGCCTATTTTTTTCTTAATATATGTTAAAAAATGACCCTATTTTAAGAATTTAACAGTACCAGGTTTGGCACTGAATCATACACTGTATGCAGTGTTTTCCCTAAGAACTGGCTAATGTCCAAATTGACCGCTACGATTGATAAAAATGCCTCTTAGAAATTTAAGGTTGACAGAGATTCTGTCCATAAACATCAACCCGTAACCTGTAACAATTGATCTTTAAACTTTTACTTTAATAAAAGGAAAAACACTGTGCATGTTATATTTGCCAAGTTTTTTCGTATGTTCATCTCAAGTTTAAAATGGTTAACAATAAATATTTAATAGATCAAATTACATTCAATTGGCTACTGAAAAATGACTGATTTAAAATTGGGTGTTGTGTATACATTGTTTTAGTACCAAGTGAATTATCATTAATTTATATGAATCTTTTTCAATCTAATTCGTAGAGAGGACAGCTAAACTGGCCTATGTAGACAGCTATGTCAAACCGCCGCGCGAGGTTCGCAGACAGCAACTAAAGTACGGAACTGCCGGTCCATCATCTGGAGAAAGATCCAAAAAGTTTGCACATCTCATGGACCCTATTGCTATTGGCAGGAAAGAAAAGGAGGAAAAGGGTATTAATTCTTCTTTTTTTTTGGCCTTGTTTTAATGGTAGGTCTTTAAGGTCATCAAGGGACTAGGGATTAAGTCAAGTCAATTTAAAGGCACTGAGCCCCCAGAAAATGTTTTATGACATTTAGGAACTTATATTACACATTAGAAGCCAAAATCACTTCATATATGTTTCTTTTAAATACTACTTGGGAACTAGTTTGTAACTTTGTATGTCAAAACTTGTATCTAATGGAAAGAAGTAGTTTCATTTTTCCTGTTACATTTACATGTATTTTCAGCTGTAAGACAGAAAGCTCCGATGATGCAGAAAACCATGATGATGATAAAGAAAATGCGGAGATAAAACATCCAAGACAGGTTAATATTCACAAGGAGGAATTAAGCCATAAAATAAGAGATGAACAATCTATCAAAGATATTTTTAAGAATTTGTAAATGTAGTTTTCTGGGACTTTGTTTTTATTGGTGCTAATTAAAATTACAACCACTTGTTGCAAGTACTTTCGAAACAATATATTGATGTTTTTGAAGTGTTATTGACTTCTTCATAAAGAAAGGAATTGCTGTACAAAGTTTCTTGACTAACATATGGATTGTGTACAAAATTGCAAATTAATGTAAATGTATGTACCTGTAAATATTTATGTAATGTGTTAATTTTCTGATGTATCGTCAGTATAAAGTCTTTTTATATTGGCTACAAATCAGGATAAAAGGATTATTTTAATTGTGATCCTAAGGAATCACATTTTCTGAACATGTATTTGAGTTAATTTATCTGTACATAGAGTGTATTCATAGTCCCACACATATACTGCAGAGTAGGACTTTAATTCTTTTTAACAGTCGGAATCTCGAAATGAAGACAGAAGATAGTTGAAGTGCTCTTGCATGCTTATTTAATGGGATTTGGCATTGACAGATTCCTTAAGTGCTTGTAACTTGAGACTAGAGTCTTTATATTTATGTGGCTACACTGTTAGATGAGGTACACTACAATTAAAGTCTCCTCAGTCACAATGGTTTACAAAATCAAAACCAAAATATCTTCTTTTTTTAAATTAGAAAACTGAATCATCTTGTTTATTGTTACCATTCATTTTTAACACTATTGTCCATTAATCTTTTTGTCCATCCTAATTCGTAATTCTGTATGTGATGCAGAAGTTTGAAATTTATAGCTTACATTTTATACATGCCTGCTATTGACATCTGACCAACATGTAGCATAAAACTTAGCAATTTAAAACTCCAAAGAAAAAAGTGAAGATTTAAGAGATTATAAAAATTGAGCAGTCTTGCATTTTAAAACACTCAATATCATAGAGTGACATGAATCGGACCAAACAAGAGAAGTCTAGAGAACTTCTAAGAAAAATACCATCACTTTATGACTGAAGGTTAAAAACAAAAGTGAAGGTCTAAAATACATGTATAAACAGTATCATAAACAAAGTTGAAGGTTTAGATGAGTTTACAAAAAAAAAATCCTTCATATTGAAGGTATTATAAAACCACATATATGTACAAATTATTTTGAGAATATTTTTCGTAATTTTGAATTTTAGTTGAGCTAAAAATTGTGAAAAAATTAAACAGCTGTAAATATTATAGTTTTATACATGTTTAACATGCAGGTTTAACCAAAATATTTCAGAGAAACCTACGGTCACAAAGAGTACATATAGATCATTTTTTGCTTAGAATGACAAGTATATTAGTTCAAATAAGAGCACATGTATGATTTGAAACCAAATTTGCTCTTTTTTGAGTGTATTTAGTTATCATTGTAGTCTAAAAAGGACAGTGCAAGTTAAAATTAATATATTCATAGTGTAATTTATTTTTTAGCAGCATATTTCAATTTGTTGATTTTCACAAGTTAAAAATGTAATATATGCATTTGTAGCTTAATTTATTTGTTGATTTTCTCTTTTGTCGTGTTTATTTTTGTTTGTTTATATGCTAAATCATTTTTTTCAAGATAAAATTAATGTTTACTGGGATTTTTCCCCCAAAGTAGTATTCTTATCAAATAAGGTAAAACACTAAATACTTTAATTGCTGGTGCATGTACAATGCTTGGATTATTTTCCTTTATATATAATTGCTTATGTACATGTACATGAGTTGATTTTGAAGATAGCCATGTATTGACTGTGGTGTGGGATTGAATTTTATAGTATGAAGTTATGAAAGTTTTATTGTTGATGCACAATAAATTTAAAGTTTTTTAAACCTTATGAATGTATCATTTTTGTGAATATAATTCACACACAGAGGTGTCGAATATCTTGCATTTTAAAACACTCAATATCATAGAGTGACATGAATCGGACCAAACAAGAGAAGTCTAGAGAACTTCTAAGAAAAATACCATCACTTTATGACTGAAGGTTAAAAACAAAAGTGAAGGTCTAAAATACATGTATAAATCAATTTAAAACTTGGATTCCCCATTGTGGCTCTGTCCTACCCTGGAGGTCATGATTTTAACATATAGAATCAACTCTATCCCATAATGCATCCACATAAGTTTCAGCTTCAGTTTCAGTTTCTGGCCCATAAGAAGAAGATTTACATATATTTTTCCTACATATTTCAATTTAAAACTTGGATTCCTTATTGTGGCCCCATAATTCATAAAATCTGTATAAGGAATTTGTTAAATCTATAGAGCTGGGGATCCGAGATAACTTCTCTACATCCATAAACTCGCAATATTGTTGTCATGTTGTTGTCATGACTAAACAAGTTTTATTGTATTTTATGAAATAAAAGCTGTTACCATAGATTCAAGTCTGACAAAGTTCCAACTTTTTGCTCAACTTTTATCAAATAAACAAGAGGCCCAAGGGCCTTGAATTGCTCTTCTGATAAATTGTACAATTTATCACTTCTATTAGAAGCCTCCAACTCTAAGACCCAAAATGCATCAACTTACAAAGTTTGATAATATTTAGCCAGTTAAGACTGAAGATATTATAATATAATTATAAAATACCATAAGTAGGTCATAGTGACCTACCTTTCGATTGAAATTTTCTGAGGACTCAAGATACATTAATTGACAAAGACTGATGATTCTAATTAAATAAGTATCTGAGATATTCAAAAGTAGGTCACCATGACCTACTTTCTGGTCAACATTCTCTGAAAACCCAAGATGCATTATCTGACAAAGTTTGACGATTCTAAGCCAATTAGTACCAAAGATAATTAAATATAGCCATCAAATGTCAAAAGTAGGTCACGGTGACCTACTTTTTGGTCGACGTTATTCAAAAACCCTTAATGCCTAAATTGACAAAATTTGATGATTCTAAGCCAATCAGTACCTGAGATATTCAAAATTAGGTCACTTTGACCTACTTCTTGTTGGACATCCAATGAAAACCTAAGATGCCTCAACTGACAAAGTTTGATAATTCCGAGCCAATAAGTACCAGATATAATTAAATATAGCCATAAAATGTCAAAAGTAGGTCACAGTGACCTACTTTTTGGTCCACGTTCTCCGAAAACCATGCCTAAACATACAAAGTTTGATGATTCTAAGCTTATACGTACCTGAGATAATCAAAAGTAGGTCACTGTGACCTATTTTTTGGTCGACATTCTCCGAAAACCCATGCCTAAACTGACAAAGTTTGATGATTCTAAGCTTATACGTACCTGAGATATTCAAAAGTAGGTCACTGTGACCTATTTTTTGGTCGACATTCTCCGAAAACCCATGCCTAAACTGACAAAGTTTGATGATTCTAAGCTTATACGTACCTGAGATATTCAAAAGTAGGTCACTGTGACCTATTTTTTGGTCGACATTCTCCGAAAACCCAAGATGCCTCAACTGACAAAGTTTGATGATTCTTAGCCAATAAGTGCCTGAGATACTTAAATATAGCCATAAAATGTCAAAAGTAGGTCACCATGACCTACTTTTTGGTCGTCACTCTCCGAAAACCCAAGATGCATCAACTCACAAAGTTTGATGATTCTAAGCCAATAAGTACCGGAGATACTTAAATAAAGCCATAAAATGTCAAAAGTAGGTCACCGTGACCTACTTTTAGGTCGTCACTCTCCGAAAACCAAATATGCATCGACTCACAAAGGTTGATGATTCTAAGCCAATAAATACCTAAGATACTTAAATATAGCCATAAAATGTCGAAAATAGGTCATCGTGACCTACATTTTGGTCGACATTTTTCAAAGACCCAAGATGCATCTACTGACCAAGTTTGATAATCGTAGGTCTGAAGGTAATCAAAATATGCGTTTTAAACAATTTGAAAACAAAGGTCTGCAAAATTCAATAAGTAGGTGACAGTGACCTACTTTTTCATAAATATGTTTTAAGGTCCCAAGATGCATCAAAGTACAAGATTTGATCATTCTAAACCTCCCAGTGTCTGAAATAATGGGATTTAATGTTTTTAAAAGGATAAGTCATAAAGTTCAAAAAGTAGGTCATGGTGACCTACTTTTAAGTTGACCTTGTTTGAGGACCCAAGATGCATCAACTGACAAAGTTTGATGATCATAGGCCTTAAAGTGTCCAAAATATGCCTTCAAATCAATTTGAAAACAAATCCCCGCAAAATTTAACAACTTACAAGAATTGATGATCCTAGTCCTTATAGTAAGCAAAATATACACGTTTTTATTAATTGTAAATTTAGGTCAACTTTGAAGTGACCTTGAGACCACGCCCTTTGCCCCAGGGTAATTCCCCGTGCAAATTTTAATCTTCGACATATCCTGATCCTTGTATGTAAGTTTGGTGAAAATCTGCCTGGTAGTTCTGGAGAAGAAGATTTTTTAGCAACCGGTACTTTTGGTTTTGTTTTCCTGATTATCTCCCCTTGTTTAATGGTCCCAACCCTTATTTTAGTATAAATAGTAGCCCTTGGGCCAAGGATACCCTGTGACAAATTTGGTATTGATTGGCCTAGGGGTTCTTGAGTTATGGCCCATATTCTAAAAAGTTTACGCACACCGCACAAATGGCCATAGCATTAGCTCTTTGAGCCTTTGGCTCAGAAGAGCTAAAAATCCAATAGAGCTACATTTTCTTCAGACACTTCTGGTTTTTGGCATATTCCACAAATGTCTTTAAATAAACTGACTGACTTGAGAAAAAGAAAGAATATCCAAACAAAAAAAGAAAGAAAGAAAAAGAAACGTCAGAATTTCTAAATTACATTCATATCATTGTGCTTTTTAGTATCTGATTTAGATTTCAATTTGGACAACAATACATTGATTAAAGAAATGACTTTTGAAATATCAATAAACAAGAAAAAAATGAATTTGTGTAATCTCAATTTATTACACAGGATTATAGGGGGTACCTGTAAAGTGCGAAACGAAATAGAAACGAAACGAACTGAAACGAAACGAAATCTGCCGAAACGAAACGAAATCTACCGAAAGGAAACGAAACCTACCGAAACGAAACGAAACGAAACCTGCCGAAACGAAACGAAACAAAACTTTCAGAATGTTTATATGGTCTATTTTTACTTCATATGAAATTTATATAGTTCAAGCACCACAGGCAATTGTTTCGCTTCAAGTTCTTACATAGGCGTCGGAAGGAAATTGAAAGTTGGGGAGGGGCTTAACCAAAAAAAAGGTAAACCCCAGTTTTCAATTCCTATGTAATATATATCTTTGCAAGAAAGTGGGGATGGAGGCTACCCCCCCCCCCCCCTCCCCGCCGCTTCCGACACGTATGTCATATTTTGTTAATATCTTACTGAATAATTTACCTACTTAAAAATGACATCGTTCGCTTCGAGAGACTTTTTACTTGTCAGTTAAATCGTTTAAGACGTCTATGGTCAAGCCTCTTTATTGCAAACCACTCCTTTCTTCCTCCAAAATTACCTCGATAAAAATAGGACCGTATGTACGTAGAAAGGATACACAAGATTTCGGTTGGAGTTACATGTATAATTGAACCAAAAAAAACCCAGACACCTTGGAATGGAATACTAAATACTCTAAGTCTCTGGTTTATCCTATGTTTTAAGACATTCGCAATACAACAGTACAGTGACTTTATTTCGACCCGTACATAAACGAGCCTTTACATGTAACACATCAATTTTGATAGATATGTTGAATCTAGATAAATAAGGACTGAAAATAAGAGTAAGATATAAAAATTAGAAAATGATGCACATATTGAAACTAAACATGCATAGTACGCTCGTGCATATTTGCAGCTTGCAAACATGTAAATGCATCATTAGACTGAGAAGGGAGCATAATTTATCGGTAATTAAATTTTATATAAACAAGT